GTAGATCAACGCAGAATTAATCAGCTTCTGGCTCGAGGCTTGCGAAAGCCAGTGTTCGCCGTTGATCGTGACGCTGGCCTACGACTCGGCTGCATTGCCAACGCGACTCTCGTTGTCCTTTCGTGTTTCTATAAGGGGAATTACAGGACGCGAGTATGGGCAGCGGTGGTGAACGGTAATAACTCCCGGCAGGCTGTACGATTTTCCATTGTCAGAGATCAATTGTGACGCAAAGCAACTCCGTGTAGTACGGATCTCGTACAACTGGCGGTATTTTTATTCCCGAGTGAAACAGTTGGGACAGGGGACACCACTGCTCGCTTGGCAAAATGCAGATATTTGCAGAATCGTAGACGAAACTCGACGATACGTCTGGCTGAATCTCTTTTCTTTCTTTCTTCTCTTTTTGTGCAGATCGACATGTCATTAGCAACTAGGTACTTATATTTTATAGTATAGATTTTGAAAGGTCAAGGCAGTACGGGATCTTCTTTGCAACTCAAAGTTTGTGCATTCACACAAACAATGTGTCGAGCTGTAGACATCTGTTGCAGAAGGGAGGATCAGTTTTCTTAATTAGACGCTCGTTATCAATCAATGTAATTCTTTTCCTTTTAGTCAATCTGCTAAAAGCAATTTCTCGATAAAAGTCATTTACTACGTTGTGGATTTTCGATTTGATGTTGTCCACAGTAGGTTCCATTCATCCTTAACGTTGGTTTTTACATAGTATATAAGTCCTTGATACGAGCTTGATAGACTTAGTCGAGTCAATGCTTCCTTGTCCATTTCGTTTCCAGTCTTGATGAGAGAGGTAACTAGTATTGTTCAATTTGGAGAGTTCGGTATAAATTGTAGAAATATTTTTAACCATGTTTTTCACTTTTTGTCTTTTTTTTCATTGTATCTGATGAGACTTATACTCGTCAGAATCGACAAGTCGTGACTGAATCTTGCTCTCAAAAACTCCAAGCAAATACATACATAGTTCGTTTTAGCAAAGTAGTCTATCCCTTCCCCCTATATCTAACCAGATAGCTGTTGACTTATCAATTCTGATAAACACGAATCCACTCCCCTAAATTGCAGGGAACAAAAAGATCGATTTATCAATTTCTTAGTTCTCGTTCAATCTCTTGGTTCTCTTTCAGTTAGGAGTAACATTGCAAATAACTCACAATCGTTGTAATCCTCGGTAAAACGATAGGATTCTTAATTATATTCGCGACTTGGAGATTCTAAAAACGGGAAGCGACGAATCTGAGAGATCACGTAAAAATCAGTGTAAAAAAAAAAATTCTCATTAGCAAAAACATTTTGTCAATATCTTAGTTCTCGATCAATCTATCTTTCAATTAAGAGTTTAAGGGTAACATTACAGATAATTCATAGACACTTTAATCCTCGATAAAACGGTAGGATTCTTAATTATAATCGCGACTTGGAGATTGTAAAAAGTAGGAGGCGACGCGATCTTTGCAATCTGCGAGATCACGTCAGTGTAAAATGAAAATTCTCATTGGCAAAAACATTTTGTCAATATCTTAGTTCTCGATCACTCTATCTTTCAATTAAGAGTTTAAGGGTAACATTATAGATAATTCATAAACATTTTAATCCTTGGTAAAATAGTAGGATTTTTAATTATATTCGCGACTTGGAGATTCTAAAAAGGAGGAGGCGACGATAGGATTCTTAATTATACTCGCGACTTGGAGATTCTAAAAACGGGAAGCGACGAATCTGAGAGATCACGTCAGTGTAAAAAGAAAATTCTCATTAGCAAAAACATTTTGTCAATATCTTAGTTCTCGATCAATCTATCTTTCAATTAAGAGTTTAAGAATAGCATTACAAATAACTCACAATCGTTGTAATCCTCGGTAAAACGGTAGGATTCTTAATTATATTCCCGACTTGGAGATTT